AACATAAATTTTGTTTTTTGAGGTTATTTTACATGAAATCTCAAAAAAATTTCCAAATTTTTTCAAAAATGGCACAAAGTTTTTTGATAAAACTTTATCGGATAGAGTAAAGGAAGCTTAAGAGAATGGTACTGGTCTAATACTCGTTGAAATTTGTTAACATTACGAATGTCAAAATAAGCTTGTAAAATGCTGAAATCAAGCTGAAAGTGAGCCTACCATTTAGCAAGTGGAAAAAGATAAAATGGAATTACAAAATTATCGGTCACAATGTTACAACAATGCTGTGATAACTGGAATCAACATTGCCGTCCAGCAAAGAATATGCTTCACTCCAAAATAATCTAGCTATAATCGTCAATAATTGACAATTATTGTTATGATCACTCCCTTAACTTGTTTGGTGTACATTAAGGTCTCCTTTGTTTTCTGACTTTCAATTTTTTTAACGCTCACCCTCTAATTTTGTTCGAATGACCTTAAAACATTCTTGTACAATATTTTGATATAGGGAGAATTCTAATCCGTGCCTAATTGAGCTAATAATATGCAAGTAAATATTGTGAATGAGGTGATTAACAAAGGGGATGAAAACAAAGTGTTCATAAAGCTAGGAATAGCAGGAAGGAAGATCAAATTCCAGGTAGATACGTGTTCACCAGTAACGTTAATCGACTTACGAACATACGAGTTAGGGGCACCACAGTGCAGTAAATCTAAGGCAAGTTTGTGTTCTTTTGGCAAAAATTAAATTGATGCGAAACGTTATTTTCGGGCAATGATCGAGTACAAGGGAGTGTGCCGGGAAGGAGCTATTACGGTGGTGAACAGAACAGACACGAGTAACATGATGGGGATGGATATTTTTAGGATTTTTCAGTTTAAAATTGAAGGTCGAATAAATTTGATGTCCGAGCTTAGTGACATAGAAGTTTTGGGAGAAGACTTCAAGGAGCTGTTCCAGGTCTGATTGGGAAGGGACAGAGACTGGGAGGCACACATTCAACTGAAGGATGGTGCAGTTCCCCGCTATTGCAAGGCAAAGCCCGTCCCGCTAGCACTGAGGGAGCAAGTAGCTAAGAGCTGGCAAGACTACAAAAACTTGAGATCATTACACCAGTAAAGAGTAGTGCGTGGGCTACGCCACTAGTAGTAGTAAAGAAAGCAGAAGGTACTATTCGGTTATGCGGAGATTTCAAGTCCACAGTGAACGCTCAACTATAAATAGAGAAGTACCCCATTCCCCGACCCGGGGAGCTTTTCCAGAGGTTAGCAGGGGGTAAATATTTTTCGAAAATAGACTTAAAAAGTGCATTCCTACAAATCCCGTTGGACGGAGAGTCTAGGAAGTGTTTAACAGTAAATACGACGCTGGGGCTGTTTCAGTACGAAAGGCTTCCATTCGAAGTAGCCTCGGCAGCACCTATATTCCAGAGATATCTGGAGCAATTGATAGCGGGTGTGCCGTGTAGCATGAATTACCTGGACGACATTGTGGTAACTGGTAGAACTAATGAAGAACACATTCAAAGTTTGAGGATATTGTTGGGAAGGTTACAAGAAGCGGGACTTTCGGCAAAATTAAAGTGGGAATTTTTCAAGCCGAGCATAACCTACCTAGAGCGTAGAATTGATAAAGACGGCATTAGGCCTACACAGGCCAACGTGGAAGCCACAACTAGTTTACCGTCACCTAAAGACATCAAACATTTACAATCTTTTCTAGCCAAGGCAAACTATTACGCCAAAATCATTCGGAATTTCGCAGAGGTAGCAGCCCCACTTTACGCGTTGCGCAGAAAAGACATCAAATTCCTATGGTCACCATCTTGTAGCACAGCTTTTGAGGAAATAAAGAAGGCGCTGGTGGAAGCTGTTAAGACATTTTGATCCGGAAAAAGCTCTCATCCTAGCAACAGATGCATCAGACTATGGCTTAGGAGCGGTCTTGTCATAAAAGGACGAGAGGGGGCAAGAACATCCTATCGCTTTTGGGTCTAAAACTCTTAACGTGCACCGGCGTTGGTACGCCCATATAGAAAAAGCGCGATCAATATTTTTTGGGTTACTTGGATTTAATGAATACTTATATGGGAACAAATTTTGGATAATTACAGATCACAAGCCTTGGTAGAACTATTTCATCCTGCGAAGATCTCAGATAACACACACTGCGGAATCTGCAGGCACTTTTTCTCTCAAATTACAATTGTAATATTGTTTAGACCTACGGTTCAGCACGGCAGACGCCTTATCCAGGCTACCGGTGGGACCAGTGAGTAACGTCGACAAGCAAGAAGTCTCTGCAGATAGATCTCCAAGAAGAGGCAGTCCTGCATTTTCCCCTGGATCAGCGAGCAATAGCAACACAGACGGACGGGGACTCGCAGCTAGCAAATATCAGAGAGTTCATCAAACCCTTGGAGAACCTGGAGGCAAACCCGGTATGGAAATTCAGAAAGAGATTAAAAGTTAAAAGCAGGCGTTGGAAACCGGGAACCAGGTCAGAGTAGTCATCCCAGTTAAGCTTGAGACAGAAGGTCCTGAGTATACTGCATAAAGGGCACTGGGGAAACGTTCTCACGAAACAGCTAGAAAATACTGCTACTGGCCTAACATAGACAAGGATATAGAGGCTAGGGTTAGAATGTGCGAGCCATGTCAAGCGTTCCAGGAAAGTCCAAGAAGCAGTTTCAAGGAGTGGCCGGAACCTCAGGAGGTGTGGGAGAGGGTAAATGTAGACTTTGCGGGCCCATTTCCGAGAAGCATGAGGCTAGTGCTCGTGGGCGCATCGTCAGGTTTCCCATATGTTACTCGCATGGCAAACTGCACGGCGGACACCACAGTCCGGGCCCTTCAGACAATATTTTCTATAGAGGGATTACCAGCAACAGTAGTATCTGACAATGGCCCCAATTTACAGGAGAGATATTTAGAAAGTTGTCAAGAAAATGGAATCAGCACATGTTGGCACCCCCTTTCATCGCGTTCCAATGGGGAAGCGGAATGCTTCGTACAGACCTTTAAGCTGCGCCCGAGACATTTTAGAGTAGAGGATTTGGATGGACCGAGGGGGTTAATGGCCGAAGAACCAACGGAGCACATCTAAAACTCATTTTCAGGAATGCAGATCTCCTAGATGGCAGAGAGAAGAGCGGCGGCAGCCAGAAGAACAGGAGTTGGCCCAGCCAATACAGCTGTGGCAAGCGCCTCCTTTGCTCGAGTCACTCCACGGAAACGGGCTGAAGACATCGCGCGGGAGCAGCCCGAGCAGCTGCACCGAGGGGGAGCAGCAGCAAACTGTGGACTCCCTGACGATGGACGTCGAGGAGGCCCGGCAGAAGGCGAGCAGCGCCGCACAGCAGGAGTCGACGATGGCTCCGGGGGCGGAACCTGCGCACAGCCGTCAGCCTCGAAGCTTCTCGCCGCGGCAGGAGCCGACGGAAGAGAGGGGGAAGGAGCACCGCCCCAGATCCCGGGCTACGTACAGGCCGTACCAGACCAGTCGATCAGGCGCCTCCAGCCAGGAACCCCAGCAGAGTGAGACGGAACAACGCCCAACTGCAGTCGCCTAACATCCATTTTTCGGTCGTTGCGTTCTTTGAAAGGAATAGGATATGCCGGACGTGTCACATGGGCCGACCTGTCGCCGGCAGCGGATGTGGCGCTGACCTCGGCCCGATTTCGGAGCGGCAGCGCGCCTTGCGCTCACGGCGCATTGTCACACGCGGGTGCTAGACACGTTTATAATCAGTTTCTTGGAATGGAGAATTTTCCGTATCATTCTTTCTGAATTAGTGGTGTAATGTTTTCACACTTAAGTATAATTATCCGATATCCAAATAGTTGAAAAAATATTTGAATTTTAGGTGAAATGTTCTTAAGCAATTTTAATAACTGCGCATATTAATCAATCTGGAAATATTGGAGACGGAGACTCCCCGCCCCCTTACGACCATTGCTTTACCAACACAAATTTAACTCACCTAACGCAACAGGAAACAAAAAATATTATGAGAAGAGCAAGTGAAAGAGAAACAACAGGGTGCAGCATCAACTTCTTTGGCTGTACTTTCTTCGTCGTCTGAAGATTCAGAAAATGAACTTCAACGTTCAGATGAAATCGACGTTGGTGAACTTTTAGGAGAGACTTCCGTAAGTACATTATCACAGACATGTTGCAAGGCGTGCCACCAAAAATTTCATTACTCCTAAACTAATGGCTGCTTCAGATAGATGCTAGCTGAGTATAAGAGATGCTGTACTCATCCTTCAGGCGACAGTCAAGGCACTTTGCCACAATACCCGAAGAACACACTATTAATACCTCTTCTATTGTTCAAATCAGACACACGAAGAAAAGAGAACATTAAGAAACAATTAAATCTGTTTTTAATAGTAATATATCTAAAAATTTTATTGGAATTGGTAAACTGTCGCCTACATTAAATATCAGGGATCCAAAAGAAGAAAGACTTTCAAGTGTGGTTACATTTGGGGTCAGGTGTCATCATCAGCTTTTCAAAATTTTGGAATTACTTTGGCAAAGATCACCCTAACGCTGTTTGGAACGTGTTAACGCACTGATGTATCGAGAACAACTTACAAACATGTACACTGTAAATGTATATTCTGCATTGTCACGCAATATACTATGCTGTGATACAACTGCATCACAGACTTGACATTTTAAAGGAGCGTGCGTCTTTCTTGGACAAAATGTGGGCAGAGAATGATTTTTTTTCAGTGCCGTGATCACATATACAAACTTACTTTACAATCTGTATTTCAATGTTAAATAGGCAATGTAACTCAAGGGTGCTAACCAGGCTGATCAGGGTGCTAACACGACTTGAGTTGGTTTTAAAATGTTTCTGCTAAGATCAGAATGTAGTGTAATTAAAAATTCCTTAAAATGTCTGTTGATTGTAACTGTTTATGTCTAACTGTAGCTTAAGTGCAGTGCAGCTATAAAAGCTCCTTATCAAGATATCTGCTTTTTAAATGTTCTAAAATCGCTTGAAAGAAACAGATTCGATAATTTCAAAAGCAGCTTTAAAAAAATTTAGACATTGTATGCGGTATTTATTAGAAGAATTGTCAGTCTTATCACTCTTCGATGATGAAGTAGTCATACAAATCAAAATCAAACTGGTAGTAAATTTAGCCAGAGAGAATCTACACATCGAAGAGTGGTATGCCATTTTTTGTAGAGAATAATATGGTAAGCGCAATCTATCCATTCTTTAATTATTAATTCAATAATATGCAATACATATCCTAATTCAATATAATCTTTAATTTCAACGAAAATAATAACAGATTTTGTGTCCACCAAAAGCAGAAGATATCTGTTCTTTTGCCTGAAGATGGATACTAGTTTTATTGAATGTCCTTCGACCTGAACAACTCATCATATTTAAAAGCTCAAAGGTTATTTATAAAGTTTAAAGCTGTGAATGACTGCGCTGAAAGACCAGTTGAATGAATGCAAGATTTTCATGGACAACTGGATGTAGATGAGGGATGAAAGCAGTTTCTGTTGTATTGTTCTTTTCACTGTACCCATACTGCAAGAAACAAACACTGAAAAAAGTACCCACAAGAAAGTTAAAAACATAACACAGTCTAAAAAATGAATATGAATTAAATTGCAAATAAAATTATATATTAAATATGTATCGGTAGTTTTTTATTGAGAGAACACAACAAAACCAATTATCCCTAACATTCAAATTTCACGCTCAAGTCGGAACAGGTTAATATCGGTCTATTGAGATTAAATTTTATATTCGAGTAAACCTAATGAAAAATATTTAGAGGGAAGCCCAAAACTATTTGCAAAAAAAAATTTTTTTTACTCTACTTACCACTGGAGACCGAGTGAGAAGGGGGGGCCAGAGAGTGATGGAAGGAGAGGAGGAGATGAAGGGCAACACAATGACTGCCCATTTTCCACTAGTACTAAAATATTTGTTATCATCAAATAATACAGTAAAATTCCTGAGTTTTCCTAATGCACAACAGCCTTGACAAAAGTTACAAAATATTAAATATATTACTCTACTTACTGAAGGATTTGTCGAGAATTTGTTCACCACAAGCAGGTTCTGTTCCTTCAACCGTTTCTTTTGTATCATTTTCAGGCACATCATGATCCTCCATGGGATCTTCATTCCTTGAATAATCCATATGTACATTTTCTAGTGTCAGAATTTCAGGCAGCAAAGTTTGCTTAGTAACATCTATGGCTGATGGAAGTTTGTCGCTCAATTTGCCCTGTTGTGAAGATGACATTACTGATGAGATTGCATTTCCACGAGAAGAATCACTGCAACCTACAAACAAAACAAATATTGTGATTATTTTAGGTGTTCTCTTGGGACATTCTTCAAAGACACTCAAGTTTTGGGAGAGAAAAACAATTATTTACTTAATGATCAGTGAGTATTCACATGATTTAATATAAAAATGAATCAAATTTACATTGTTTTATAAATTATGTGGTAAATGAAGATAAGAAACTTCATTTTCACAGAAAACATAAGATAGTACATTAAAAGATGGAACACAAAGAAGGAGCCTTTGAAGATGAAGTGTCCATGGTTCAAGATGCCAAATGAAGTTAGTGCTACTAAGGGAACTGTTCGGCGGGGCATAGAAAACGTGCAAATAGAAGAGTGTAATAAAAAAGCTCCTGGATATGGTGTAATGGGTCGTAAGGTAGAAGTTTAGGTGTGGGATAATGGGGGAGTTAAAAAAATAGAATGGGCATGAGAAATGTTACTAAATTTAACTTTGTTCCTATAACTTCTGTGGAAGGTTAGGTCCTATTTAAAAATTTTTAACACACAAGGCACTGCCTTACTGTAAAAGATTTGAACAAATTCGTGATTATATACTGTGCTGCTAATCATAAAGTGAATAAAATAATAATATGTATGTAACTCTTATCAATGTAAAAATTGTTAATTTTCCTGCATAATAAAAAGTGCTAATTTTAATCCTTTTGTGATCAGTTGTAGAAGTCTGAAATATACCATTGGATGTCTAATATTTTTAGACTGATTTAATCATTCTGTAACATATTTTAAATGCCTAAAACGTCATTTTTCATGCTTAATTTCTTACTTTTGTTACCTATTTTAGGTGCATAAATCATCACTTTTTATGCCTAAAATTCCAAGGTCTAATCATTATCCATTTTGTTAACAAATCCAACTGGAATTCCATAAATCTTCTTCATCTTCGTTTTTAAATTACACAATTAGAAGGAAATAAACAATTTACTAGTAAAATAGTATTGTAAATCTACAAGGCTGATCCTAGGGTTGCTTTTACTGTACATTACGTCAAACTGAAGAATTTTACTATTTTTTGTTCGTTTCTTGAAATAAGAAATTATTTCCCCACTGACTGGATACAATTAAATAATATAGGTTTGGAGATTGACAGGGTGAGGGCAGGGGACAGCAGACAATCAATCTGCACTAACCTGCTGCATCAGTTACTTTACTTTCTTTCATAAACAACAATGTTCAATTATACTAGTTTGTACAAAACTAGTAACAAACAATGCATACATAATACATTTGTTACTTAATAAAAAAAACACTTCAATTGAACCCTAACACCACCTTTAAAATTTTTTTTTTAACAGTCTCAATAGTTCTCTACCATATATTTTACAAAGTGTACATGATAACAAACCACTGGTACAATAATATAAATCATAGTATGTTAAACATTTTCATACATTATATAGTTAATCTATATATTTTAAAAATTAAAGAATTTTTGCTAAAAAAACAAGTTTGAGCTTTCTAATCAATCAAATTCATGCTTTTTGCTTCAAAGGAAGATAATGGGCCCCAGGGGCATTATTACTATTGTGAACAGGTTTTCTCGTATAATCACTTAATTTCCCTTGAAATGAATTGAAATGTGTATTTGAAATATGGTTGTCTTAGTCGCTTTGTGGTGCAAATTGCAAATGAAAGCACTTGATGTTTCCGATTATCTTTTTTATATGTTTAGCTAGCTTTTCAATTTCCAATTCCCTTCTCTTTTGTCATTTTGAATTTTGTCCACTCTCTTTAACTCATAAAATTAACTTTAAAAAATTAATAGGAGCTACATCCACACCTCTCATTTCCAGAAAGCCCATTATTAACATTTCTGAACATTTACATTTTACATTGCCTCTGATGTAAATGTTTTCTTTGAAATTTTCCCCATTTTCCCTCTACACACCACTTCACCACTTTCTACGTAAATAAGGATTGGAAACGTGTATAGTGCCTATTTAAATGCCCATTTTATGTTTTTAAATGTGCATTTTGCCCGCTTATTTCTACAGTTTTTTTGTGTCTATAAATCTGCGGCCTAGCTATGATCATTCATGCCATTATTGTAGAAAATTCTTTTCTTTTCTTCTTTTTAATCTTAGGGGTGGGAGTGTTCTTCCCCTGCTAGATAGTGAGATACGGCACCAATTTACATATTGGCTTGGAAGGGGGAGGGGCACTGCTTCGGCCAGGACAAGCTCTTAAGCTGCCGTTTTGTTTTCCTGATGTGTGTAACGGTGGAGTGGAATGTACATAAGCGTATGTGATTTAGTAGAGGGAGAATATAGCTTGTGGTCCACAGTGTTCATTGCTGCTCTGGCATTCACATGGAAAAATAACACAGCAGTCGGACACTATAATTCTTCGTATTGTCGAGGCTATCCGAGACGAACTGCGTCACTGATATGGTGGCTAACGTTTCGGCCAGCGTATTGTGGCCTTCCTCTGAAAAAGGCCACAACATGCTGCCCAAAACATTAGCCACCATGTCAGTGACATGGCTCGTCCTGGATAGCCTAGACAAAACAAAATCCACCCACGGAATCCTATGCAAGCACTATAATTCTTCTTCTACAGTTGCTAAATTCGACCTAGTTACCAAGATTCTCTGCACTTTTACTTACTTGAGATATGATCAAGACTTCTTTCATCTTGTGTAAGTTCCGTTGTTTTATCCTTTCCATTTCTATTATTTCCTTGCACATCACAGCCAACCACCGATTCTTCTTTCTCTGCATCATCGGCAAATTCATTTTTTGGCACCAAAATCACAGGTAGCAAAGGTTCCTGAGCAGTGTCTTGAGTTAAAGGTACTCTGATGCTCAACTGCTTAAGCAGTTGTGAAGGTGGTGTGACTGATGATCTCGCATTTCCATATGATTCATTACAACCTTTGAACAAAACAAAATGTGATTTACAAGTAAATTGTCACCTTGTCTTTCTTGTGAGTGTTTCAGGTTAGTCAGGCAGTAATAAGACACCAAACTATGATTTAAAATTACGAACGCAATTTGAATGAGGGGTTTCTCAGATAGAAGACTGGATTGAAACCGAGGGAAGAAGGAGTAGATAGAAAAGGGAGTATTTATGAGATTCTCACAGCATTTGTGAGATTAAATTTATTTATTTATTTATTTCAACTTCAGTATGTATTAAAATTAATCGTAAATATATCAGATTCAACGCTATGAGATTTGACTCAAATTTAGATTATATCTCGTGACTCAGCAAGTTAGGTATAGAATAGGATTGGAAGGAGCTGGTTTAAGACAATGAAAGGTTAATAAGTACTACATGAAATTTAAAAAATAATTATATATCAAAGAGGTTTTGAAAGAGCAAAGAGTTTTTTTCATCATGTGTACTCAAGACCATCCATGTGTTACTTTGTAGATACTTCTAAATTTTTTGGTGATATCAGATCAGCAGTTAGTCAGCAGACAAAAATGAACAGCAACTGACAAATAACGTTAACAATTAACAGTGCTAATTGTCCACGTTCAGTTGGTTCTTTCACTTTAGAGAATTTACACGATTAGATATATTTTAAAAAATGCTTTAGTTAACAATGCCACAACTAAAGAAAAGTTTCAAGAAAAATTAGAAGAAATGTGGTATTCCAACATTATATGTAATTTTGAGGAAATGTGTTACAATTATCCATACATAAGTAAATGAGATTCTAAAAAAATTGCTTTGTATAATAAGTATTATAAAATATGTATTTTAATTGGTCAAATTAAATTAATTTAAGTGAACATAACTGTAACTTCGGGAATACCAAAGTTCTCATTTAGGCCCACTCCTTTTCTTGATGATTTTGATGTATGCAGAGAGTTTAGAGGATTGCAAATTGCTACAGCATTAATTAAACTTGCTATCTCTTTGTACAGTAAAGGAAATATCACTCAATATGTCAAAATGTAGGATTGTGCCATTTGGGAGAAAAATGTCAAGACAATTATCCCTAGATACAATAAAATGAAGACAATTGAAGTGACAGAGGTAACAAAATATTTGGGGTGAT